AGCAAGTGCTAACAGAGATCAGGCCTGATTCTCCAAACAGATCAGGCCTGATTCTCCGAACACTGCGGTTTTGTGTGCAATCAGGGGCGGAATGACCATTTGGAAATTCCGGCACTGCCCGAGGGCCCAGGGTCAGTTGGGGGCCCCATGAGATGCCGCTGCTACCTTTTTCATAGGCTTTTTTTAGTTTGGGCAAGGACACAGGGGCCCTATGATCCCCTATTGCCTGGGGGCCCCATGAGTTTCAGTCCGCCCCTGTGTGCAATGTATTACAGGTGACAGTGATCAGAAATTATACTGACACTGCACTTCTTGTTAGGGGTGGGGGGGAGCATTGGGGCTAAACGCTAGTGCTGGCAGTGAACGGGATGATCCTGCTGACACTGCATTTTTGGGGACACTAATACTAAGGAGGCACTGGTATAGTTTTGTTCGTGATCAATATATTGATCCGTACAAACACTATACTAGTAATGATGGTGATCAGCGACCTATAGCGTGAGTGCGATAGTGTGCGGGCAATATATAACGCTAGCTGACCCTAGCTGGGAGGGACGCTAACTGACCCTGATGCTATCTGACACTATCTGACGTCGCTAGTGGCACTAATACAGTGATCAGTGAAAAATACTGCACGCTGACACTGTATTAATGGCACTGCCAGGGTGGCAGGGGGCAATCAAAGGGTTAAATATGGCAATCAAGTGGTTAAAATATCTCTATCTAACGTATGTGGGTGCAGTGTGCTGCTTTTACTCACGTGTGATGTCTTTCTTTTCTCTCTGGAACAAAATGGTTCCAGGGAGAGAAGAACCAGCTAGATCCTGTGCCTGTATTTACAAATACAGGGACAGCTCTCCATCTCCATTCGCTATAGGAGATCGGCAGAGTCTCAGCCAAAATCATTGGCTGAGACCTACTGACATACACCTCCTACAACAAAATGACAGCGGGGGTCAGCAGGGGGGGCGCACGTATGCGCACTCTAAACCTGGAAGAGCAAAGCAAGGTACGGGTACATCATTTTGCCTGCAGCTACCGCTCGCCCGCAGTACATTGTTAACCGTTTTCTCACCGCCCTATAGCAGAAATACTGCTACAAGGCCGCAGGGGTGCGCAAAATCACGTGTATATATATGTGATTTTGCATTTCTGGGTAGGGGGTGCGTGTGGGTCGCACATGTGCCCTACCCGCACCGCCATTGGCGGCCTCACCTGTCAATCACCGGGTCCCGACCTGGCGATCGCTGCGTACCGGAGGAGACACCTGTATGCAAAAAATACAGATACCTCCCCTGTCAGCTCCTGCAGTGTGCTTACAGTGTAAAGCACACACACAGCACACAGTAAAACAGCACACAGTTAACCCTTTGATTGCCCCAGATGTTAACCCCTTCCTGCCCAGTGCTATTAGTACAGTGTCAGTGCTTTTTATTAGCACTGATCACTGTATTAGTGTCACTGGGGATGTCAGTGACAGTTAGTTCCCCCCAGTGTCAGAATGCCTGTCGCAGTCCTGCTAAGTCACTGATCGCCGCAATAACTAGTATGAAAAAAAAAAAATATTCCAGTATCTATACCGCCATTTGTAGATGCTAGAACCTTCACATAAACCAATTAATTTACACGTATTGGGATTTTTTTTTTGCAGACGTGTAGCAGAATACATTTTGGCCTAAATTTATGACAAAATTAGATTTTTTTTATTTTTTTGCTTTTTTTCTCAAAATTGTCAGTCATTTTTTTTATAGCGCAAAAAATTAAAACCACACAGGTGATCAAATACCACCAAAAGAAAGCTCTATTTGTGAGAAAAAAGGACATGCATTTCATTTGGGTGCAGCGTTGCATGACCGTGCAATTGTCAATTAAAGTAACGCACACCGTATCGCAAAAAATGGCCTGGTCAGGAAGGGGGTAAATCCTCCCGATAGCAAGTGCTTAATCCACTGTGCTTGATATAATGAGTTAAAAGAATGTACTGCCAAAAGGAAAAAGCACACTGAATGTTCAACTGAGGTCAAAAGTGGAATCAGAGCCCAAAATGATGTTGCAAGTCAAATTCCTGGCATTCTGTATGCATGCTCATGTGTGTGTGTGTGTTGTAGCTTGGTTTTTTAAATTCTATTAACACAGTTATAAAGCAATACCAAAGGGTTCATATTTTTTACCTCTACTCTTAATAAATATAAAGAACATTACAAAAGTGCACAATACATTATAGAAAGCCTCACTGATGCAACCTATGGAAAAACATTTTTCACTTGCCTGACATTGCTAACCTAATTGATTGTACTTCTAAATTTGAATTCATGCTGTATGATGTTAATTGCAGGAAGTTCCTGAAGATGACAGAGCCAGTATTTATAATTCTGTTATCATCAATACATCTAAGGAGATGATGTGTTACAGTGATTACCCAATACCAGAGGACTACCCCAATTACATGCACAATTCCAAGGTGCTGCAGTATTTCCGCCTGTATGTCGAGCATTTTCAGCTGCTGAAATACATCAATTTCAAGGTAATTTATTACTGTTTTTCAAATGTTGTAAATAATAAATGACCCTTCAATGTTATTGGTAGAATACTGTAACATTGTAATCAACACATAAAATAAAGTACAACAAATAAAATAAAGTACATTACAGTTTTACCTAATGAATTAAAGTGATTTTAAAGGTTTTTTTTTTAAATATTAAACATGTTATACTCACCTGCTCTGTGCAATGACAATAGAAATGGAATTGCTGCACATTCTCCTGGAAGCGCAAATAATTTCTTGAAGTGTCAAATACAGATTAAAACATCCCAGCAGTGATGCACTGATATGTCGGCCACCAAAAATTATCGGCCGAAATGAGGGTTATCGGCATTTTGCCAATAAAAAAAAAGGTGCCGATTTTGACAATTGACTTCAATGCAAAATTGCAACCTATTGACTTCAATGCAAAATTGCATTCCAGTTTTGATAATGCTGGTAACGTTAGCTGTGTAAAGTCACGTTAAAAACGTAAGTTTTTCAGCTTTTTGGGGGGGTTTTTGCATTAGCGTTTAGTGGTGTTTTGCTACATTTAGCGGCGTTTTCCAGTGTTTTTCTGTGTTTGTGTTTTTGCGGTTTACCAAAAAAGTCCAAAAATGCCGGTTTGCTGCGTTTTACCACGTTTTACCGCATTGTGCCGCGTTTTTCAGCGATAGAGCATGTTTACAGCTAAAAAACTCCTCTAGAAACCGACTAGTCCTGGGTTTTTTTTCCAATCAAAAAAGTCCCTGCCAAAAAACATTGATTACAGTCCGTGTGCATGGATACATAGGATAAGATGCTGGGGGGTTTATTAACTGTAGAAAAAAAAACGTCAAAAGCCAAAAACAGCAGCTGTAAAAACGTCCAGTGTCATGAAGACTTAAGCCTAGATATGGTTTTCAATTAACGAGATTCTTGGGTTATGTTTTGAATGGGAATCATTTTAATTTAGAATGTCTTCTTCATGGTCATTGTTTGTGCCAATTCACAAGTTCTGCGACTAAAGCTGGTCATACATTATACAATTTTTCTTATTCAATTTCCTTTAAATTTACCTTCAACTATGCAGTGCAAGGGCTTGCCTGATTGCATACAAATTGAATGTGATTAGGTTTGACCTCATATTATATAATTTTGGTATATCTAAAGGGAAATTGTACAAGAAAATTGTATAATGTATGGCCAGCTTTAGACAACTAAATGTTTCTAAACCGCAAAACAAACATGTAATATATTGCAGCAGTTCTCAGGTGTGATGTCTGCATTCTTTTTTAAGGCTGTTTTCAACCATGTGACCCTGTTCTAGACTGACAAAGCTCTTTTACTGTGCCGTATTTATGGAGGACCAGCATTGTCACCCTAGTACAGGAAGTCATTTTAGACTCAAGAACACTTTTCCTCATCTCCATAACATAGGTGGGAGGTGTTCTGTAGACCACATAGAGAACTTAAGACAATGCTAACGTATAACAGTACTAACGTCATTCATGTCTGCCTCAATGGGAAGAAAATGAAAAAAATGTATCAGTGACCACTGCCCTTGATGGCTAGCCTGTCTTGTTTGGCTCTGTTCCATTGGACATCAACAGGTGTAGTCAAATGGCTTCTGTCTTGTTCTCTCTTACATGAAGACGGCTGTTTGCAGCATTCGTAAACGCCCAGATTTTCTCACCACTGGCCAGTGGGATGTTGTCACAGAGTCGGAAGGAAAACAGGAGAAGCATGTCTTTGATGCCATTCTTGTGTGCATAGGTCACCACACACATCCAAAATTACCTCTTCATTCTTTTCCAGGTATGACGTTTTCAAAATGATAAGGTATACCCATACACAGGAAGATTTCATTAAACTGTGAGAGATTTGTCTACCCTTTCCTGTAAAGTGACTTTTCTCACTCATTTCACTTGGTGGATTACCATATTTTTTTGTTCCATAAGACACACCTAGATTATAGAGGAGGAAAACAAGAAAAAAAATATTCTGAACCAATTGATTGCAGACATAGTACAGGGGATGACCAGAGACTGCGGACATAGTACAGATGACCAGAGACTGCGGACATAGTACAGATGACCAGAGACTGCGGACATAGTACAGGAGATGACCAGAGACTGCGGACATAGTACAGGAGATGACCAGAGACTGAAGATATAGTACAGGAGATGACCAGAGACTGAAGATATAGTACAGGAGATGACCAGAGACTGTGGACATAGTATAGGAGATGACCAGAGACTGCAGACATAGTACAGGAGATGACCAGAGACTGGAGACACACTACAGGAGATGACCAGAGACTGCAGACAGTACAGGAGATGACCAGAGACTGCGAACATAGTACAGGAGATGACCAGAGACTGCGGACAGTACAGGAGATGACCAGAGACTGCAGACAGTACAGGAGATGACCAGAGACTGCGAACATAGTACAGGAGATGACCAGAGACTGCGGACATAGTACAGGAGATGACCAGAGACTGCGGACACAGTACAGGAGATGACCAAGACTGCGGACACAGTACAGGAGATGACCAGAGACTGCGGACACAGTACAGGAGATGACCAGAGACTGCGGACACAGTACAAGAGATGACCAGAGACTGCGGACACTGTACAGGAGATGACCAGAGACTGCGGACATAGTACAGGAAATGACCAGAGACTGCAAACAGACTACAGGAGATAACCACAGACTTGCAGACACACTACAGGGGATGACCAAGAGACTAGAGACAGCACAGGAGATGACCAGAGACTGCAGACATAGTACAGGAGATGACCAGAGACTGAAGACCTTTGGGGAGGGGGGGTACTTGCACCCACATCCGCGGAGTTGTCCTCCCCGTAGTCTTGTGTGACACGTGACAGGTCCCAGAAGACTACAGGTGTCCATTCACAAAGCACAGCGCTTCTCGCACATGCGCAGTGGGCACCTGGCTGTGAAGCCGCAAGCTGTCACGGCCGGTCGCCCACACTACTGAAGATGCTGGCGCCAGGGAGAGAGGATGGCTGGTGAAAGCAGGACACCACTGGACCGAGGAACAGGTAGGACCGAAGAGCAGGTTCTTCTGCACAGTACAGCCGAGTGACCAGCCTGGTATTCTAACACGGCGGCGTATTTGCTCTATAAGACGCACAGTCATTTGCCCCCATTTTTTCGGAGGGAAAAAAGTGCGTCTTATGGAGCGAAAAATATGGTAAGTGAAGCTATGTTCACTTCGATTTACTAATCATGTGAAAATGTAAACCTGTTTTTTATTAATTACTCTGCACATAACTGGATATTCAAATTAAACGTAGTTTCCCTTTATTTACTAAGCTAAACAACTCACTTGGATGCCACAGATGGCATGTGACCCATCAACATATAGACATATATGGGGAGCAATATTACTCTGCAAATGCCACTTTATGCATTGTCATACTACCTTAAACCCAGTCTTTCCAGACAGTATGATCACCTGCTGACTTGGCACCGTCCACAGGCAGTTGCACTCTTCAATAAGACACAGAAGTTGAATTCAACACAATTTTACTTCAGACAATTGCAGTACAAAGAATATTTTCCAGTCTTTTGAAGTATAGGAAGACAATGACTTTCCAGAGCCCTCTCTGTGAAAACCTGTGAGCACTTACTAAGGGAACATGGAAGAAATGGGGGGGGGGTGTCTTGCTAGGAATTAATAAACTAGCACTAAATAGGAGGGGTCGGCTGAGGATGATATCACAGTCACATTAGTAAATTGTAGTAATGGCCAGAAACTTCCACTAGATATCAAAACATGCTGATGAATAATAAAATCTAAAGCATCTCAGTACAATACAGAAAAATCACATGAACATGGGGCAGAACACTGACCAGATCAGAATATCAGCTGGAAAAACTGGTAAGCGGGAAGACTTCCACATTTAGAGATCTGATCACTAATTGGTTAATGGCTTTGCTGTCTTAATCTCTATTGATGAAAACTATGATTGTGATGAATGATAAGATGATTAAATAAATATTAGAGATCCAGCTCCAAATGGCCCTGTATCCATAGCATTTTCTTTCTAAACCCCCAAGGGGGTTAAGAACTTCAGATCTAGGAGATGAAATATGAATATGAACCTATTGTTATGAAAAGATCCAAGAGTCAATGGCTGAGGAGGTGTTTTCGTTTGAGTTCACAGAACCCTTTATGATAAGGCTCATTAAAATGTGTAAGGCCTTTGTACTGAAAGGTCATAGGAGGAGGATAGCACCAGCATCAGTTGGAGTTTGTTTGGGCTTGCCATAATCTTGATTTATGTTTTTTTTTTAATTTGTTTATATAACGTTTTAGTAATTTTATTTTTGTTACATAGTTACATAGTTGGCAGGGGCGGACTGACAACTCATGGGGCCCCGGGCAATAGGGGATCATGGGGCCCCTGTGTCCTTCCTCAAACTCAAAAAAGCCTATGAAAGAGGTACCAGGGGCATCTCATGGGGCCCCCTACTGACCCTGGGCCCTCGGGCAGTGCCCGAGTTTCCAAATGGTCAGTCCGCCCCTGATAGTTGGTAAGGTTGAAGGTTGTGTGTGTTTGTCACTACCACCAGCATATTCCTGTACATTGTGCTTGCTAGGAAACATATGTAACAGTTTTTTTAAAGTACAAGTATAGCTTTTTTTTTTTTTTAAATGAAATGAAAAAATCTTACGTGCTACTATGGATCAAAAAATCAAGTGCATCTACAAAAACATGTAAATACACATATAGCTGCTGTAACACAACACCCTATCTCATATATGGGTAAGATCAATAAATAAATGAAAACTAATGTGCAGCGCTATAAAGTGGGAAATATCCATATCATATTAATATAACAATAATAAAATAGTGAATAATATAAGTGATAATTGTATAAAAGTCCCAAAGAAATTGCTTCTAATAGAATATCCTTCCTCCTGTGAACACATGGTGTTCCAACCACAGAAATGTGCACAATTCCTGCACCAGATGTCTGCTCACCTCCAGCAGTGCGACCTCACATATATTATGCTCGGTCTAACCACGGTTTTGGTCCCATAATGGACTCTGAAGATCCACTTGATGAGTAATGGAATCCAATGGCTCGCTCCAAAAGCAGCCCTCATTGGCAGTTATTCCTTATTATTAAAAAACTTCACATAGTATGTACCCTTTAAAAAGCTTTATTTCTCACAAAAAAACTTCCAATTATTCACTCACATGTGACAGGTGCCAGACTACACCAAGTATAAAAAAGCCTCCAATATATATCTCTGCAATCTTAAGAATCTGTGCCGTCTGAGTCAGCTGAAAAATACTACAGTGGTATGTTTTAAAAGCATGACATTGCGTCATGATGTCATCTGCAAGCTCCCCCCTTTTTTTGCTATGCTTCTCCTATGGATCACAGAAATGCAGTTCATTCTGCACTCATGTGACCTGTTTTCAGCTAACAGCAGGCTAAAGTCACTCTCTCTGAAAATATGCCGACCATATGGGCACCTGGCTCAGCCTCTCGATCCACTAGGACCCTGAGTCAGCCCCTCCAACCCCTTCCACAGCCCAGTGACCCAGTGAGCGCTGGAGGGACAGAGCAGGAAGCTGGTGACTGGCAGTCACTGCTCTGCTCAGAGCGGAGGAGGAGAACTGAGCAATCAGTGGTGTTTGATCACTCAGTTCTCACTGCAGAGCCAGCAGGGGGCAGATGCAGCATCAAATCAATGCTGCATTCACTTAGGTGAATATAATTATTTTTTTTTTTTTAAAGACATACTTCTCATTTCATTTACCTGCTCTACCCACTGACACCACCAACTGTAGAAGGGACTTTCACATCATCACCACTCTAACACTAAGGAACCTCTTCCACAGTTTAAGACCGCGCTGCTTTTTTTTCCAACTTTATTGTGTGGCCGCATGTTTTCATAGCCCTTTTTAATCATCACTCAGGGAAAATAAATTTAATGTATGTAATTGTTCCTCACAACTGAGGTCCTTCAGCCCCCTTAACCCTTTCGCTGCTGCCAGGTCCATAAGCAGGGGGTTTTATACACAATCTGGTGGCTGCAGCCATCGGGATTGTGTATAAAACTGACAGACTCCTGTCTATTAGGTGAAAGCAGTGAGCTATCTCTGCTGCTGCCAATTGTTTCCACAACCACAGTTCTGATGCCCCCCCCCGTTGGCACACTCCTGCCATTAAACCGGGCTCTGCTTGCCTATCTGTGGGCCCAGGGAGAGCTCTACTCCCCTTCTTTGTGTGACCTTGAAGGTGACGTCCATGATGTCCCTTCTGGGTCACGGATGTCACTTTCCTGACTAGATTAGCTAGGGAAAGATGTATAGCAATGCGATTTGCATTGCATTACATCTACTGGAGCCCAGAGGAGACATGCAGGGTCTTTTAGATGTATGTCTCAATAAAGAGAGCCTGTCACCAAAAAGTCATCACATAGGAGACTTTGTGTCCCCTATGTGATGACAAAAAAAGTTAGGTAAAAAAAAATAAAATTACACCTAATCACATAACATCATTCCTACCCCCCCCAAAAAAAATGTTGAGGCCCCCCCCCACATACATACACATACAGACCTTCTCCAGAATGCTAAACTGATGACCTGTAGGGGCTTTTGAAGCCTCTTCTATAGAACATATAGGGTACTGAAGTTTGATGCAATTTCATAGGCACACACAAATTTAAGGTTTGGCATGTTGGGTATTTATTTACTCAGCACAACTTCATCTTTTATATTTTACTAAAATCTGGGTAATGTACTGCGTTTTTTTGCCCTAAAATTCACTTTAGTGTGATTTTGTACTGACATTTTGCTTTTCCTAGACCTTTGCAATAATATCATGTGACCCAAAAAATTTGGAACTACAACTATTTTATTCTCTAGGGTGTCTGCTTTCAGAAAATATATAATTTTGGGGGGTTTTGTTTAATCTTCAGGCCTAAAATGATTTTTTAAACGTGTGCAAAAAATTAGGGAAAAAAAGGCCCTGGCAGCGAAACGGTTAATAGCTCCATTGCCGTGCTTTGTACTCTCTTCAGTTCAAGCATATCCTTCCTGAGAACTGATGACCAGAAATGGACAGCATACAGTAAAGGAAATAAGTATTTGATCCCCTGCTGATTTTGAATGTTTGCCCACCTACAAAGAAATGATCAGTCTAAAAATCGAAAGGTAGGTGTATTGTAACACTGAGAGATAGAATAGCAACAAAAAATTCAAAAGAAATGCATGTCTAACAAATTATAAACTGATTTGCATGTTCATGAGGGAAATAAGTACAGTGGGGATCGAAAGTTTGGGCACCCCAGCTAAAATTTTGTATTAATGTGCATAAAGAAGCCAAGGAAAGATGGAAAAATCTCCAAAAGGCATCAAATTACAGATTAGACATTCTTATAATATGTCAACAAAAGTTAGATTTTATTTCCATCATTTACACTTTCAAAATAACAGAAAACAAAAAATGGCGTCTGCAAAAGTTTGAGCACCCTGAAGAATTTATAGCATGCACTGCCCCCTTTGCCAAGCTGAGACCTGCCAGTGTCATGGATTGTTCTCAATCATCGTCTGGGAAGACCAGGTGATGTCAATCTCAAAGGTTTTAAATGCCCAGACTCATCTGACCTTGCCCCAACAATCAGCACCATGGGTTCTTCTAATCAGTTGTCTAGAAAACTGAAACTGAAAATAGTTGACGCTCACAAAGCTGGAGAAGGCTATAAGAAATTAGCAAAGCGTTTTCAGATGTCAATATCCTCTGTTCGGAATGTAATTAAGAAATGGCAGTCATCAGGAACAGTGGAAGTTAAAGCAAGATCTGGAAGACCAAGAAAAATATCAGACAGAACAGCTCGCAGGATTGTGAGAAAAACAATTCAAAACCCACGTTTGACTGCACGATCCCTCCAGAAAGATCTGGCAGACACTGGAGTTGTGGTACACTATTCCACTATAAAGAGATACTTGTACAAATATGGTCTTCATGGAAGAGTCATCAGAAAAAAAAACCTCTTCTACGTCCTCACCACAAAAATCATCGTTTGAACTTTGCAAATGAACATATAGGCAAGCCTGATGCATTTTGGAAACAAGTTCTGTGGACCGATGAGGTTAAAATTGAACTTTTTGGCCAGAATGAGCAAAGGTACGTTTGGAGAAGAAGGGGCACAGAATTTAATGAAAAGAACCTCTGTCCAACTGTTAAGCATGGGGTTGGATCAATCATGCTTTGGGGTTGTGTTGCAGCCAGTGGCACAGGGAACATCTCACGAGTAGAAGGAAAAATGTATTCAATAAAATCTCAGCAAATTTTGGATGGTAACTTGATGCCATCTGTGAAAAAGCTGAAGTTAAATAGTGGATGGCTTCTACAAATGGATAATGATCCTAAACCCACCTCGAAATCCACGGGGGATTACATCAAGAGGCGTAAACTGAAGGTTTTGCCATGGCCTTCACAATCTCCTGACCTCAACATCATTGAAAATCTATGGATAGACCTTAAAAGAGCAGTGCGTGACAGACAGCCCAGAAATCTCAAAGAACTGGAAGACTTTTGTAAGGAAGAATGGGCAAAGATACCTCAAACAAGAATTGAAAGACTCTTGGCTGGTTACAAAAAGCGTTTACAAGCTGTGATACTTGCCAAAGGGGGCAGTACAAGATATTAACTCTGCAGGGTGCCCAAACTTTTGCAGACGCCATTTTTTTGTTTTCTGTTATTTTGAAAGTGTAAATGATGGAAATAAAATCTAACTTTTGTTGACATATTATAAGAATGTCTAATCTGTAATTTGATGCCTTTTGGAGATTTTTCCATCTTTTCTTGGCTTCTTTATGCACATTAATACAAATTTTTAGCTGGGGTGCCCAAACTTTCGATCCCCACTGTATTTGATTTCCTATCATTCAGCAGGATTTATGGCTACCAGGTGTCTTTCATACAGGTAACAAGCTGAGATTAGAAGCAATCTCTTAAAGGAAGTGCTGCTAATCTCATTTTGTTACCTGTATAAAAGATACCTGTCCACAGAAGCAATCAAACAATCAGATTCCAAACTCTCCACCATGGCAAGGACCAAAGAGCTGTCCAAGGATGTCAAGGACAAGACTGTAGACCTACACAAGGCTGGACTGGGCTACCAAACTATCTCCAAGAAGCTTGGTGAGAAGGTGACAACAGTTGGTGCAATCATTCGCAAATGGAAGCAACACAAAACAACTGTCAGTCTCCCTAGGTCTGGTGCACCATGCAAGATCTCACCTCTTGGAGTGTCAATAATCATGAGAACTGTGAGGAATCATCCCAGAACTACACATGAGAATCTTGTCAATGATCTCCAGGCAGCTGGGACCACAGTCACCAAGAAAACAATTGGTAACACACTACGCCGACAAGGATTGAAAGGGAGCAGAGGTCCCTCTGCTCAAGAAAGCACATGTCCAGGCCTGTCTGAAGTTTGCCACTGAACATCTGAATGATTCAGAGGAAGACTGGTTTAAAGTGTTTGTGGTCAGATGAGACCAAAATCAAGCTTTTTGGCATCAACTCAACTCGCCGTGTTTGGAGAAGGAGGACTGCTGCCTATGACCCCAAGAACACCATCCCAACTGTCCAACATGGTTGTGGAAACATTCTGCTTTGGGGGTGTTTTTCTGCTAAGGGGACAGGA